AGTTAACTTTGCAAGTATCTAGTGAATACTTCAGGATTATGTACATGAGGATCCGACAATCAGTGGAATGTGTGGCCTCCGCCTCACTTCCTGTTCCTTGTTTGGTTGTGGGCTTGGGGCAGAACCACACAATCGATTGTTTGTTCGATCTGGATTGTATATGATTTGTATACACTAAGTACTCGCAGGAGGAACTGGTAAGAATCATTTTTACTTAAGGTTTATACATTCATTACATTAGAAAATATAAGGTTTTTTTGGAAAAAGATAACACACTTTTCAAAAGAACAAAGAACAGTTTTTCCAAAACTAAACGCTTATGAACTCACCAGCTTTATGCTGATACTCTTTCAAAACCTACTTGTATTCTCAAGACATTAGTAGACAGGTACACGCGCAGATTCAAGAAGACGGAGCATAGTAGCTTCGAGTCTTTACATATATTTACTTTTGAAGACATTCATGTATAATTCAAACATAATGTAAACATTATACTAGTAATACAATGGTTGTTGTTGCTTTGATTACTATTATTCAATTGTTGTGATACTGCACATGACGTCCTCCGCCCCCGAGCGTTTCCGCCATTTCGTTTTGGGGGTGTGACATTATAAGATCTCGGTTCCCGGTTTAGTTTCACCAGCCACAAGATCTTCTTTCCCGATCTAGAATTAGAGTCTTCCGACCTACAGTAGCTGCTCACCGAGAAAGACATTTTCGTCTCTGACTTTCACTCTTAGCTTGGTTCCAGATCTCGTTTCACCGGCCACCTGCTGTTGCAACAATAGAGGTTTCTCGTTCTACTTTTTCTGGCCACTGTGAATGCCGACATATGGTCAAATACTATCAGGCCGGAGGTAAAATGGAATAATTTGACCATGTGATTTTGATTCTGGGAGCTGAAAAGCAAGTATTTGTATACAATGACGAGCCTCCGTTTGGTAATAAACTGTAGATTCCGTTTATGATCAGAGACAAATAGAGGTAACTGGTAAGAAAATTGAATCAAATTTATTAAAAGATAACAGAAGGCTTCATCGGAGTTCAGGCAGCTCAAATCGAATAACAGAGCATTTAGCAATGACAACATGGAATGGAGGTGTGACCTAGGGTTTTAATCGGTTATTGGTACGTCAGAGGTGCAAAGGAAGTCAAGAAGTTGTACAAGACCATTGAGCTAAAGAAATTCGTGGAGTGTTTGAGCCTCCAGCTTCGTTATTTTCTGCTTTCCTGAAATTGTATTGCTGCTGCGACATGGATTTGAGTAGGAGGCTTCATCGGGGAGGAAAGATTAGTGTGCGGAGGAAGCTATCAGAAAGGAACAGGTAGCTGGATATTTGGATGAAGCACCGTTCTTTTTGGATGTGTGACTTTCTGTGGTAAGGTCAGACCGTTGTTATTTTGATTCTTCACACTAATAGTTAGGTCAAATATTTTATTTGGACTGAAGTTAATAATGAATCTGAGCTTTAGGCTAATCGTAACAGGTTTTATATTTGGATGAAACACCATTCTTTTTCATTTTCGATCCATTATATCTAATTAATAGATTCAATTGTTGGAATTATTTAAATTTTAGAAAATAAATAAGAAAAATAAAATTATATAGATTAAAAGTAACATTAGTTCATAAGGATTCAATTTATAAATAGAAAACAATGTTTCTACAACATTTTGCATCTTTAAAGATATATATATATATATATATATATATATATATATATATATATATATATATATAAAATCATATGTGATTAATACATATAATCACATGTGGTCAAATACACGAGAATAAGTATTGACTCGAGAATGTGAAAACAATTTTTTTCTACATAAATATGACTTAATTAATACATATAGTCACATGTGATTAAATACACTAGAACAACTATTGAATCGATAACGCGAAAACAAACATTGTCTATATAAATCATATGTGATTAGATACATATAATCACTAGTGATTATATACAGAAGAACAACTATTAAATCAAAAATACGAAAACAAATCTTTGTCCGTATTAATCATATGTGATTAAATATATATAATCAAATATGATTAAATACATGAGAAAAATTATTGGATGGAAAAATGTGAAAACGAATTTTGTCCATATATATCTTTTGTGATTGGATACATATAATCAAGTATGATTAAGTACACGAGCACATCTATTGAATTTAGTACACAAAAATGAAATTTGTCCATATAAATCATACATGATTAAATACATATGCGAAAAATGAATTATATGTATTTTATCACATATGATTATATGTATTTAAATGTGATTATATATTTTTAATCACATATGATTTATATGCGCAAGATTCATTTTCACGTTCTTGATTTATTAGTTGTTCTTTGTCCAAATTAATCATATGTGATTAAAAAGATATAATTACATATGATTAAATCCATGAAAAAAATTATTGAATAGAAAATGCGAAAATGAATCTTGTTAATATAAATCATATGTGATTAGACACATCATACATATAATCACATATGATCATATATGTCTAATCACATTTGATTTATTTAGACAAAAACCAATATTGTCCATACAAAAACCAATATTGTCTTCTCATTTCCACTCATTTCTTTTTCTTTTGCTCGTTAAGTTGAACTCGGGAACGGGACGGTAAAGAAAGAAGATTTTAAAGTCAACTGAATGTTTGAATGTTAATGTTTGGAGATGCATACCTAGTGACTATGAAATAACGAGAGAGAAACACAAATAGATTCTGAGTTTTGAAAAACAATTATTATGCATATGCGAAAATAAATATTTTATATCTTTTTTTTTTCTTTTTGGGGTGTACAAACAAATAAAAGACAAAACTGCAAAATTGGTCGGGTTTGCAAAAAAATGTAAATAGGATCCAAAAAGTTTTCAACTTGCATGGAATGTCCAAAATCAAGAATTTCATTTGGTTTTGGTCCTTAGAAAATTGAAAAGACTATTTTATCCTTATTATTTCTTTTTTATATTTTCTTTATTTATTTTAATTGTTTTTAAATTTAAAAAAAAAAGAAAAAAAAAGAAATGGGCCTACGACATTACAACAACCCACCTCACTACCTCACCCTGCATTTCTTTCTCTCTTTCTCGCTCATCAAAAAGACGTCGGCTTCATCGCCTTCATTCCCGTCAAGAATCCCTAATGGTCGCCGCCCAAATTTCTCGTTGTACCTCATCACCGGTAAGTATGTTACTTCTCACCGTCTTCACTCCCCCTCTCCTTCTCAAACCAATGGATACACATATTGGACCTTGAAACCTGCAATCACGAAACCTCGATGATTGAACCCAACAATCGGATATCGCATGTCCACCGTACTCCACCCCACTGCCGGTTTCATAAACACACCTCTGATGAAACCCTTTTCCCCTTCTGGAGGTACGATTAAACTTTATTTATGTATCACTTTTTCTGGTGAACTTGGTCTGGTTAATTGAAAGTCTTATCTATATATAGAACTTGTATGGAGAAATTAGATGTTCACATTAGATCAAAAGAAGAAGAAATTCGATGTATATGTAACATAGAAACAGAGGTGAGTTTGGGTTTGAAATCAGATGCAATGTGTTTGGGTTTTGTGGATTCCAGATTTGGAACTAGATAGTAGATTCCAGGTTTGGTGATTCAACGGTAAGGAGAAATGGAAGCAAAGATCATGTCTATGGGTTATGTTCTCCGGCGACGAAAACCACCAAGCATCGTGTTCTACTGCCCACACGAGTTAACTCAGTCCTAATTTCTTAGGCTTTGTAAGCAATCATCAATTATGTGTGTGTGTTATATGTGATTTGATTTGGAAGAAAATAGGACGATGAAGACGGTCAAATAAGAGAAACGATCATATGAGAGAGAGAGAGAGATAGAGAGAGAGAGAGAGAGAGAGTTGACGCTGGAGAGAGGTAGGGTAGAGTGGAAATTTATTTTTTGTTTTTTCTAATTATTTAAATTCTAAAATAAATAAAAAAAAGGAAAAAAGAAATAAAAAGGGCAAAATTGACCTTTCAAGTGTACCATGAACCAAATTCACAAAAAATTTCCTAATTTTAGGACCAAATTCACAAAAAAATTCCTGATTTTGGATCTTCTATGCAAGTTGAAAACTTTTTGAACTTTATCTGTAGTTTTTTGCAAACCACAAGGAAGCCAATATTCTTTGGATGAATTCATCGGTGAGATGGATGGCATGATGTGTTTTAAAGGATGTTTGGAGGATCTGAAAGAAGAAATATCTTTCTATATTGCTCGACTTTCATATATGATTACAATCATTGTGACCAGTGATAAAGTTTTAAACGAGATTTTTTGAGAGTATAAAACCAGATGACGATGACGATAATGTTCTTGGAAGGACAAGGTTGAAAAGAAAGTGGGGTAAGATTTGGTGTACCCTCTTTTTTAATATCTATATAAATTTTAGAAATGTATAGGAAAAATGTCAAAAATATATTAAAAAAAAGTGCAATAGATGATTCAGATGGGTTATGGACCAACAAAGCAATAAAATAAATTGAAACAACGTACCATTCGTGTTAAAACAAAAGATTTAGACCGGACGGAGCCGCTCGACAAGGGCTTGGCTTTTTCTGAAGTGGACTCGACGAATATTGCTTCGAGTACTCGACATGCCAAATTCGAAAGCCTAATTTGGCGACCACGTGCCAAGTTCTCTCATCTTTGACTTCTTATACCCCATTTTCTTCTTCCCCACTCGGTGACCCACCCCCTCTCTTCTTCTTCCTCCCTTCTCCCTCTTTCTTCCTTGTTAGAGCTGAGGTGGAGCTCGATTAGCTCAACACCCCTCCCCTCAACGTTAAAAATTAAACCTATGAGCTTTTGTGAACATCTAGGAGAGTAGGACCATTTTTGTGTATAGTCTTAGTAAATCTTTTACCCGTTATCATCAATCAGACAAGAGTATAGGGACCATATGTTGCAAATTCTGGACCATAATTCTTTTATCTCAATCCTAGAAAATGGAAATCCGGCTGTTCTCTCTTCGGAGACCTTCCGCTGCCATGTCGCCGCCGATTCTTCAGATGCATCTATCAATCCATACACCTGCGTCGCCCCTCTTATCCTTCTCATCCCAGATTGTGTCTGACCCCACCCACTTATTCCTCATATCCAGTTTCTCTCGTCTCTCAATTGCTAAACCACCCCCATCAACGATGATTCGCATGGGCGGAGGTCCGAGAACATTCCCCGGTGGCGTTTCCAAGTGGCAGTGGAAACGGATGCAAGCAAAGAAGGCTAAACAACTCCTCAGAGCTCGGCTCGCCCGTGAACGCCAGGTTTACGAAATGCGAAAAAGGGCTGAGCTAAGCGCCGCCATTTCGGAGCTCGAGCGGCCGTGGGAAGTCGTAGAGAAAGCCCCGAAGTTGTTTTCCACTAGCGCCGATGAGCAATTGAAGGTTTTGGCTGACCGGTTTCAGAAACCGGGTGGGTTCGATTTATGGTCCGAGAAAGATGGACCCCAGTTGTTTGAAACTGTAGATGGTATTCCTTCCGCTAGGTTTTTCCCAAAAGGGGTTGTTCATAGCATCAAACCATACGGAAGAATCAGTGATGGGTATTCGCCTGAAGAACCCGATTTGGTTCATAGAGATGAACATGATGAGAAATCAAGGAAATTTGAGAAAAACAATACAGGTATTGGGTATCCCTTTTCGGATGATGATTCGGGTTTGATTCTCAGAAATGGGCATGAGGAGAGTTTAAGAAACGCAAATGGGAAATCCACGAAAAAGGATAGTAGAAGGAGAATTCGTACAGGGTTGGATTCGGGTCGAGATGGAGTCAATCAGAAAGATAGTGGGAGCATTTGCAGAAAAGATACAAAGAGGGGAAATGGTAGAACAGAACACTCTGCTTCAAATTCAGAAGTGTTTGATATGAGTTTGCAAGATGATGGAAGTTATGGAATTTTAAAAGAGGAAATGAAGATTACAAAGAATAGACAAGAGCATAGAGGAAATGAAATCTGTTGAGGTAAACTAAACCACAATTCATTGTTTCTGTCATACTAGTACATATGTTCATTAAACTTGTATTTATCTATCTATTTATAAATGCATTTTAATGTTTAATCATGAAACTTATCCATCTACATATTCCTTTTAACATCGAAGAAACAGTTAATACAAAGACTTAACATCGTCTTGGTGAATTGGAAATCACTAATGAAACAAATATAGAAGATGATACATGCCATGGACAAGAACATATAGGGGTAGAGTATTGATAGAAGGTGTTAGACCAGATGTTTGTAACACTCTCAAAAACGGACAAAAATTTGGGAAATGATGAAAAGACCTTGTGTACTAGTGAAGCTATGATGACATCAAAAGCCAGTGGATTGAATGACGTAAATCAACACTAATAGTGATTCTCAACATCCATTGAGTGCCTTGTTCATAGTCAAATACTTTTAAGGGGAAAAGTCAAATTGCAATTAAATTCAATGATGAAAATCAATGCTGTCACACTAACTCCATTTGAACTTTAAGCATGAAATCAGTAATTAACAATATACATATAATTGTAATATATTTCGTAACAGTACAATAGTAAGAATCAATAAGTGAGATCATAGGAGTCTTCTATGATTTGAAATCACGATGAAGTACTAGTTATAATCGATTTGACACAAACAGTAGGAAAATTGAATTTGAATAGCTTGATGTACACGAGCAATCATTGTATTTGGAATCATTCGACTGTGACAATAGGATTTTTCTGGTCCTTCAAGAGTGAAGATTGAACAGCAAGACTCATATGCATATGTTCTTCATATCAATGTTTATGTTCTGCAAGTACTAGTTCTTTTCAGGGAATTTTTATACAAATAATTCTCTGCGTAGATTCTTCATAAAAGTATGACGCTGTCTTGTAAAACAAATAAGTTTTGTATGAAATATATGGGGTGATATAAATTGAAGATTAAAATATGAACAATTATTCATGGTTGGTACTATATGTAACCCTTCATTCATATAAAAAGTCAAACAAACTTACATGCTTACACATTCATATAGGAAGGTACACCAAACAATTGATGTACATATAGAATAAATCGTACTCATATGTCATTTTTTCGATTAAACTTACACGTTTAAAACATAGTCGGTATGTTATTTCTCCATTACACTTATAGGGTTTGAATTAGGCAATATGTTTACCCCAATTATCACTTTTGGGTGGATTGCACTTGGAATTTTGCAATTTTTTTTTGTCTTTGTTAATTGCTATCATACATTTTCATATTTTCATTAAATAAAATTCACAAAAACTTGACAAATTTTTAAGTTTTTACCTTTTATATATATATATATATATATATATATATATATATATATATATATGTGTGTGTGTGTGTTACAAAAAATGTATTTATATACGAAAAAATATTTAATTAAACATTGCATATATATTTTTTAATGCAATTTTATTTATATACGAATATTTTTCCTATTTATATGGTTTAATTATAAATATATTTTTGGAAATATTAAAATGTTATATATATATATATATATATATATATATATATATAGATATATATATATATATATATATATATATATAGTTCCTTACATCAAATGTCACGTGTCGTTATATTAGGCATTTCCTGCAAATTAGCTGATGGATTAACGAAATTAACAAAATGATTACTAAAATTACCAAATATTGATTACCAAATTACCGATTTCCATAAACTCAAACTAATTGAATACATTCTGCACCTAAAATTTTGAACATTTTAAAGGAAATTAACAGCCTGTAATCCATAGAATCTGGTTTTGAAATTTAAATTTTTAATAACATCATCTGTAAATAGGTATACAACCCTTTAAATAAGGTGTATCAATAAATAGGTATATATATATATATATATATATATATATATATATATATATATATATATATATATATATATAGATATATAAGAGAGAGAGATAGAGGTAGGTTCAAATGTTTTTCTCACATTTATTGTGTGGTAGAATGCACCAATAAGAATTTAGTAAACATTAAATGTATATTAAATGATATTCATACTTATAATTCATTTTTATGAAAACTAATTAAATTCTTCATTAATATAAACAATAATATTCTTTCAGAATGAATTCGTATCTAGAAGAATGAGAGTGTATTCTAATTTACTAGAATACACTATCATTCTTCATATTCCATGCAACTTTATTGTATTTTAACTGAGTGAGTCCTGAAAAAAAAACGAATTCATACATAAAAACCTAGATACGAATTCATTCTGAAAGAATATTATTGCTGACATTAATGACGAATTTAATTAGATTCCATAAAAAGAATTATAATTAGGGATATCATTTAAAACACATACAATTATGGAAATCATTTAATATCTACCTCTATTTAATTATATAATTATTTAATTTTACTAAGTTCCTATTGGTGCATTCTAGCACACAATAAATATAAGAAACATATTAACTTAGCCATATATATATATATATATATATATATATATATATATATATATCATACATACTTATAAAGCTAGTATTTTTCCTGTTTTTTTCTTCCTGTTTCTTACGTAAATATTAGAATATTATTATGTATTTTTTTATTTATATTGTTTCTGCTTCCTGTTTCTACCCTTTTCATGTTCAAAATCTAAAAAAAAACATTTTTACAAAGTAGAATCCTATGAATGACGTTTTCCATAAAATAGAACGTTATAAAGAATACATCGAAGCCATTAAGGAAGCAAGTTAATCTGGATCCAGTTATTATCTACGGTTCTTATTTGCTATGATGTTATTATCTAACAACTTGTCTAGACCAGATGTTGTGTGGGAAAATACATGGGAATACTTGTCAGATGGAATTCTTTACACTCAACAATAGATATTAAAATCTCCCGGTATTATATTATTGTCTATTTGTTTTAAAATACATATTTTTTGTTTCAATAAATAATATTATTTTATAATACAAACAAACATATCTTTAATTTTATTGTAATTATTATATCAATTTTCTTTTAGGTTTATCACATAATGAAGATCAAATTAAGAAATTAACGTTATTTGAGATTAAACAAATTTTACTTTGTAACAATTCAAGTCTCAAAAAATATACAAGGATGCCTTTCCTAATGTTGATTATGTATCCTCTTCAAACAATTGTCTTACCAGTGAGGAGCTAGATTATGACATACCAAATTTAAAGAAAGAGTTTGATCAGCTTTCCATTACAGTAACACATAAGCAACAAAGCATTTTTTATGATATCATATATGCAATTCAAAATAATAAAGGAGATGTTTTCTTTGTCTATGGTTATGGTGGAACAGGTAAAACCTATATTTGAAAGACATTAGTTGCCGTAGTTAGATGTAATGCTCAAATCATTTTAAATGTTGCTTCAAGTGCGATTGTTTCTTTATTATTAACTGCGGAAGGACAACACGCTCCTGGTTTATAATTCCTTTGGTTCTTACTAAGGATGCTGTTTGTTCCATATCACCATATAGTGAACTCGCCAATTTATTACAAAAAACCTCATTGATCATTTGGGATGAAACACCCATGATTCACAAACATGAATTTGAAGCTTTAGATCGAACTTTGAAAGATATATTAAAGTGTCATAATCCTAGAAACTCATATTTTCCATTTGGAGGGAAAGTGATTGTTTTTATAGGAGATTTCAGACAAATTCTGCTTGTTATCCCAGTTCGCAGTAGACAAGACATTGTTAATGCTTCTTTAAGTTCATCATATTTATGGAAACAATGCAAAGTCCATCAACTAACCAAAAACATGCGGTTAACTGTCGGAGGTGATACATCTGCTATTCATCCAACAATGGATTTTGCAAAATGGGTCTTGGATGTAAGAGAAGGAAAACTTGGTAATTCTAACGATGGCAAAGCGATTATTGATATTCCGCATGATCTTCTCATTAGTGATCTGTGTGGTCCTATAATTCATTAGTCGAGTTTGTATATCCTTCAATTCTTGAAGATTCTAACAATCCAAGATCTTTTCAAGAAAGAGCACTACTTGCTCAAAAAAATGAAGTTGTTGGAAAAATAAATGATCGATTGCTATCATTATATCTAGGAGGTGAAGTCGAATATTTAAGTTCAGATAAACTATGCCAATCAGAGTTTCTACATGATCAGTTTGATGCCAATTTATACTCACCTGATGTTTTAAATGGTCTTAAAGTCTCAAGTTTGCCTAATAATAAGTTAGTTTTTAAAGTCGGGGTTCTAGTTATGTTACTGAGAAACTTTGATCAGAACAATGACTTATGTAATGACATTAGACTACAAGTGATGTCTTTGGGCAAACGTGTTATCGAGGCAGTTATCATATTTGAAAGTAATATTGGAAATTGGACTTTTATTCCAAAATGTCCTTAACACCATCTGGAAAAAAAATCTCATTCAAATTTCAAAGACAACAATTTTCATTAGTCGTGTGTTTGCAATGACAATTAACAAGAACCAAGGATTGTCTTTATCTAAGGTTGGTTTGTTTCTCAAAGATCCGATTTTCGCACATTGTCAATTGTATGTTGCTTTATTTAGAGTTTAAAGTAAAAAAAGAAGAAAATTGTTAATTTTAGATAACGATGGTAGACATACAAATAAAACTTTTAATGTTTTGTATAAAAATGTTTTTAGAAATTTGTAAATAGTTTGTAGAATATTATTGCTTATAACATCTTTTTCATTATTTTTAATAAAATTTATTGTTAATGTTCATTTGTAATTTGTTATATTTTTTCATATATGTTAATTTCAACAACTTAATTTTTTGATTTGTCATATATCAATTTTAATTTACTTCACTTATCGTTGTTGTTTTATTTTTATATTTAATTTAACATTTAATTATACAATATCATTTCCTTTTCATTAATTCACCAATAAAAATTGTCTTTTATATCTTGAAAAATAATTTCACATATTTATTTAAATCAACGATTATAA